GCCAAGATTTCTGCTTAGAGTTTCGGGTTTTTTGCAGTTTGGGGGGCGGGTGTCTGCTCCACAAGCATCGGCCACTGTGACCTTGAAACCCAAAGATGGTGGAAAGCTCGGACCCGAGGTTGGGATTTGAGGCACCCGGCCGCATCAAGCTGCCGGCAGATCTCATCAAGTCTTCGCGACAGGTCCTTTTGCAGAGAAGGGGAACTCGCAGAACAGGGTTTTGGGGCCCATTGTACTATTATGATTCTAATAAGGAACCCCAAAATAGTATTGGTAATTATTTGCCGAAGGAGATGATGACAATGGCCAAGCTACAGTATTGAAGACTCGGAGCTTTCCGTTGCGAGCGCAATCGCTACTATGTCGCTAGAGCTATCAGCTATCACTATCCCTACGGACATCGTCGCCGCTGCGTGTAAGTTTCACTTGCCTTGCTCGCATGTGATCAGCACCATTTGTGTCGAGGAGCATAGGTCGCTGAGGCTGTTGGACAAATTACAAGGAATGTATGTATGCATGTATGTATGTATGTATGTATGTATGTATGTATGTATGTTTATATATATATATATATGCATACACACAGAGAGAGCCTTTTTGTCTTACATGCATTTGTTCACAGCCCCGAGCCGGACCCCACTTGGCTAGAAGCCATCCTTCCTGGCTGGAGGATGCTGCTGATTCAGAGCGCCGGGCACTCGATCCATTGCTAAGCCGAGGAGTTTTGGTCAAGGAAGCATCAGGCTGGAGCTTAGAACCACTTTAGGTGAAAATATGGCCCCCTCCCTCTCCCCCTCATATAGCCTCAAAAAACCCCAAAGAAACTCGCAAGCAGCCCTATTACTATGTCTTTTCAGCTGAGGCCCGAAACACCCCCAAGGCTGGCGCCTCCTCACCGAATCGGCGGCCACCTGTAAAAGCGGGCCGGGGCTCTGATGCCGTGCCTTCTCAGAGATGGACTACTTTCGGGGCTATCAGGGAGTTTCTTATGTTTTAGAAGCTTTGTTGATTGGGTTTTTAAGGGTTCCCCTCCAGCATTGAAGCTTATGGCAGTATGCGTTGGCAACATCTCACAGATGAGCACCGGGGGTGGCTCGGGACCTCCATGTAGTGGTCTCGGTTTGGAAGTATCGCAGTGCTGGTGGATCATAGCAAGGATCCCATAATTGCGGGGTTCCAGCCCCGAGCTTCCCTGGTGTACCGCCATTTCAGGGAATACATGACTGGTTGTCAAAATTATGGTACCTTTTTGGGTCCTTATTATAATACGGCACCTATGATTTAGGGTACCCCAAAAGGGACAATAATTTTGACAACTACCCACATACCATGATCTTGGTGTGCTGGGAAGGGCTATTCTGTCTGTCTCAGTCGTGAGCAGGCTCGGCCTGCCATACCTAAAAAAAGCTCAGGACCACACTGAACCCCAAAAACCCTTCTAGTGCCCCTTCTAGAACCAAAAGCCATGAATGTATAACACCATAAGCCGTATAAAACCTTATTACAAAACCCTATGAACCTTATCACAGCCGTATAACCCCACCAAAAAACATAAAAACAGATACCCCAAAAACCGATAACACCATATAAGAACAAAACACCAAAGCACACCAACAAAAAAAAACGACCCCCCCCCCCCCCCCCCCCGACTTCCGAGCCCTTGGCTTTCGGAGTCGAAGCTGGCGGACAGCGCACCGCAGCCCGGGCCCGGATTCGGGCAGTGGGGCGGCGGATCCTCCTCTCTGGCGCGGCTTTAGTGTTGGGCTGGGGGCTTCAGCGCTTTGGGGGCTTTAGACTGTAGGGTTGAGGACTTAGGATGCGGTCATGATCTGAATCTCGTGTTTGGGGCTTACTGGGTGATCCTAGCTTCATCTACAATGATCCTTGTGAAGCTTGGAGTAATCTTGGTGAAACCTTTTGGCAATTAGGGCTCCAGAGCCTGAAACTTCGGGGGGTAGAAAATGCTTGGAAACTTCGGCGTTTGGGATTCAGGAGTTTCGACTTGGGGCCTCAGGGGGCCAGGGAGTTCCCGTGAAGAGCCAGCTTTCAGGGAAGGGCGGCCTCGTGAAATGCCTCGGCCTTTAGAGCTTGAGGGCTTGAGGGCTTTACGGTTTGGGGCTTTAGGATTCTTAGATCCCTTGAACTTCCACCCCGGCCTTCGGTCGCAGTCTCACTGGCGATGACAGCGGGCGAGGGGTCTCATCGGAGCCTCGGAGCATGGGGTTTACAATGCCTCGGGTTCGGAAGTTTTCAGGGTTTTTTTTGGGGGGGTGTTTGGGGTTCGCGCTTAGGGCTTACGACAGATTGAGAGTTGGGATTCAGGATCTGGGACACTTGGGTTGGATTCATGGTTTTAGAATAAGACAGGGCCGGTTAGGAAGGCCGTGCGGGTTTGGAGGCTTCGGGGTTTCTGACCCGGGATCGGGAAGGAAGAAACCTTACAGACTATGAAAACAAAACGAATAGCACTACTAAGTGACGACAACAAGAGAAGCAAGACACATGCACCATCTTCTGGACTGCGGCCACTCCATCGCAGTCATCATCATCATCATCACCATCATCACGACATCTTCGAAATGATAAGAGTCAGAAGAAGGGAAGCATCTGAAGGCTCCAGATTTCGCTTCTTCAAGCCACCACTTTCACTCGGCCTGACACGTTAAATACTCCTTGCCATGTTCTTAGCACTTTGCACGGCCCGAGCAACAAAAGAGAAAATGTCCCTTTCGCACGCCGGCGGCGAAGCAGATGCTGGACGAGGCACATGAGAAATCGAGGGCCCGACTCTCCGCGTCGCAGCTGGAAGGTACCTCATCCAGTGAAATTTCCTCCAAAACACCAGTTCCGCTTCAGTCCAGTAATACGGGGGCCTTAACAATTAGAAAAAGGTTTTGGGGCCCATTATACTGTAATTCTAATAAGGAACCCCCAAAACAGTATGGGTAATTATTTGGGCCCTTACAGTAGAAAAGCATCAACCTACGGAACAGCAGAGTTGCTGGGCCGCTTCTGGGGGCAGGGCTGGAGACTCCTGCCTCTTGTGGTTACCGCCATTCAATAACGATCCACGTCCTATGATTCTATGATCAACAAGAAAGCCAAATAACAACAACAAATGAAACACAAGACTAGAGAGCCGCGACGACACTACTGACAGCAGCACTAGATGTGTCAAAAACATCACAAAGAGTGAGAGGCAGAGCCAGTTCTGCAGCCTAAATTACAGCCGACCGCTGCAGCTATCATGCTTCTGAAAAAAGGCTTGCTGACAGGCAAGCTTCCATCCGCGTCATGTGTGGTGCGACAGATTCGACACCACAGGTTCAATTCTTCTTTACGCGTAGCATGGAAGCAAAAACAGCTGCCGAAGCATTGTGTGAGTCAAGCGACGAGGCCTTTACCAGATGCTTTCGGTACTTTCTTCTACAGTTCAGCACAAGATGTAGTAAGTTCTTGGAAGAAGAAATAGAAGTGATAAGAAGTGCAGTATCAGTAACTGACATGATCATCGCAGTCATTAAAGCCTTGATTCAGGCTGACGTGAAGCTGAAGCCCAAACCTCTTGAAACCTCCGAGGCCGCTGTAGTACAAATTCGAAGACCTCGCCTCCAGAACAGGTCCAGGCAGTCCAGTCCAGACACTTGCCGAGGGGGAGGTGCCTTCATGTCCGATCAAGTGCAAAGCCTATCTGTTGCGGGTTTCCGGCTTGGGCTTTGGGATCTGCTACTGTTAACTCTTGTTTATTCACAGCTTCATCTGCTGCCGCTGCTGCTGCTCCTGAAACCGCGGCTGTTGCGGCTGCCACTCCTGTTGTTGCTCTAACGACCACTCCTAAGCGCACTACAGATCCTAAACACAGAAACGAAAACTACAACTGCAGCGCCTGCTACTACTACTACTACTACTTCTTCTTCTTCTGCTACTACTACTACTACTACTGCTACTACTACTACTACTACTAGAAGCAGCAGCAGCAGTATTGTGATGATTATAATGATCATTCGCATTTGATTTTGGAGGTTTCGGCCCTCACT